TTGTTTACTGAGAAAAATAAAACTACATAAAATACAAGTTCCATGCAAAACATAGAAAAAATCACTTCTTCTCATATATTAGTTACAACTACATAACCTATAAAACTGATTACATGATGACTAAAATCCTACTAGCAGGGAGGCATACAATCACCCACAATTTATTGACACTATGCACCTCCCCTTAGGTAACTAACATGCAGATGCCAATAGGTGGCAGTAAATAGCAGAATACATGCAAATTAAAAGACCAGATGCAGGTGGCGTGACTTCTGCAGCCATAACAATGTTTGGAGATAAGCAATTTGCTTTTCTTCCCATGAGAATATCCTAACATACCTCTGCATCTGATTTTTCCTACACAGATGTGCAACTTTACATTTATCTCCTTTGGATAACTGTTAGATTTGGCCCAATGTTCAAGGCTTTTGAAATAAGTTAGAATCATGATTTTGTTCTTTAAGGTGTTAGCTATTCTTCCTAGCTGTCATCTGCAAATTTAATAAAATAATTGGCTTATTATTTATTTTTTTCTTATTTTTTTCATAGTCCATTATTGCTGAGTTGCCTCTAAAGAAAAGGGAGAGGCAATATTTAAGACGCCACCATTCTGGTATCTTCATACCAAAGACTATGATCAGCCTGCATTAAAATACTGAAAAATTATATCTAGGTATTATAAATTCTGGACTAAACTAGCAGAGGTCTGAAGTGTGCAATATCACTTTCTCGCCACATAATTAATTTATTATTATTTTGAACATTTGCAGTAGTCAATGGCACTGGAGTCATGTCTCCAAAAGTGCTGCAAATCTTTTTCAGACATCTCTCTCTAGCTTCTCACTGAGATTTTACCAGGCTTGCTCACAAACTTGCAAGCATGTATTTTCAGCCCTGAAACCAAGGAAGAAATTGCTGGGTTTCAAACCAACTGAGAACTTTCAGAAATTGAAGGGTACATTCACCAATTCAGCATTTTCTGAGCTCCCACAGAATTACACATAAATGGAGACTGAATATAGCACTGGATGACATATATTCTGCATGGGAATCTAAAGAAAAGCAATGAAGCAACAGCAGCAAAGATGCTGGGAGTTCTAAAGACTTTTTTTTTTTGGAAAAAAAAAGAGGATTCATGCTTACCCCGCAAGTTTTTGATGAAGTCGTCCAGCTTCATCTTTCTCTCCGCCTTGACGCTGGGGCTATACATGTCGGTGTTGAGAAGGATGATGGCAAAAGCCAAGATGAAGATGGTGTCAGGGTTCCGGAACTGGCGCACCAGTGGGGCATTGCATACACAGTAGCGCTGGCTGGAAGAAATGGGGTTGAAGTTACAACAAAGAGCAAGCAATTGCAGAGAAAAAAAATAACACACCTCTCAATTCTCATGAACTATACATTGGACCCAAGCCATATCCCACCATGGAAAACTATCTGCAATAGATATTATCTGAATCTATAAATATGTCTCTAGTCATGAATTTGCAGATAATATTTAAATATATGGGCATATTATCCAAGTATACTAATATCAAGACGTGAGATACAATGGGAATGTGTGAAAATTGAATGAACAAGCTACTGTTCCCCCTTGGAAACAAACACCACTTTTAAGACTTTCTTTTTCATTCCCTATTATAGTAACATGTCAGAATCATAGCAGAAAACTCAGAAAATACAGGTATTCTTATTTATCAGTTTTATCCTACAAAATCCATCTTAACTGACTGAAAAATTAGGTAATTAAACTTTTGATTAATCTGATCAACACAGCCTTGCTAACTGATTCATGTATTAATATATTCAAATATTATCTGGTCATTCCTGGATTAATCTATTATTAAGTCTTTGTTTAGTTGACAGGCTTGGTTAATATTCAGAATAAGAGACATTGTCTCAATACCGAAACCATGGACCTTCCTCCAAATGGCATGAATGAATAAATGAATGAATGAATAAATGAACAAATGAATATTTGTTGTATCTATAAATTACAAAGTTTCTTTTTGCTGGTCTAACTTGGACCAAAATCCAGTCCCTCACAGCTCAACTTGTACATACAAGCACAGAACACTGATGCAAGAAAATACTTTACAGAGGAAAATTCTAGATTATTTTCCCCATTTTACAATAAATGAAACACTGAACCTCCCACTAATAGTCTTATACATCAGTTCCCATTCCTTATAATACATCTTTATGCTCTCTCACATGTATAAGGAGGCACCTTAAAAAGAAACCAGCTTAAAAATAAACAGGAACAAAAATAAAACAAATGAAACCGGATCTCATTATTATTCAAGACTTTAAATTGCCCGAGGTTCTCCTTAACGAACTAAAGAACTGCTCGTCCTCCGTCTTTAATACTTTGCCTATTTAGACTCTATCTTTTAGAGAATTCCACATGACTTATGCAAGCAAAGCAAAGTCAGGCCATATCACGCCATGCTACAGGAAAATATATTCCTACTATCCAACAAAATTATTCCATCTAGCCAGTTTGATGGGAGGGTGAAATATCTTCATACTCTCCAAATAAGGATGCACACTCTTCAACTGGAACAGTATTGCCCAAATCAAACCACTATAAAGTCTGCAGCTCCACTTCCTTCTAATTGTAAGATACGGTTTGCGAATTCAAATATCATACCAACCCATACCTCTCTTAATTATGGCTCAGAATTATGATAATGCCTGCACAATGATATGCATTTATATACATGTTATATATTGTGATACAAAAATCCCAAGACGTTTATCAGTTGTCTGGATTCATAATCACCTTTTACTTTAAAGTCTTCAGTGGCCAATCTAGAAGAATTTAAAGACTGTTCTTCCATGTATAATTGTCCTCTCCTACCTACTTTGTGATCTACTGCTGAAACACCAGTGTCTTGTAAACCATGTAACCATTACTGACTGTCCATGAAGTCAAGGAAAGTGGGACTTACTCTCAACAGACTTGTAACAGATTGTGCTTTTACATCTGCAACAAAGCTCATCTTGATTTAACTTAATCAGGAATTCCAGAGCCACTCCAAAACCTGGTTTCATATTCTCCACTGAAGAAGGAAATCCTAGCTGTGTTAAAAGTGGTTCAATTTTGTGAAGGTGCATCACTAACTATTAATACAAGGCAAGCAAGTCAAATGAGGAGGGAGGGAGGGAGGGAGGGGCTGGTGCCATGGAGAGGAAGTTCATATTCTCAAGGCTGCTCCCAGTATTTAGGGAGTTAAGCCCCATTTCTGAACAAGCTTTCCCATGTGAACTGCACTTCCCTACTCTGAGAGGCCACTTCTCTTGATCTCTGCTTCTTAAAATAAGTTCTCCAGTCCTGTAATTATTTCACAAAAGGATAGTTGGGTGGTAGCAAAAGAAATAAGGCATGCTACGGTGTTCTTAAAGACTAAGTTCTGCACCTTAAGCCTGACACTTCACTTATTCAGAGGAATGGCTTGCACTCTTGCCACACGCTGGCCTGTGGTGTATTGTCTTTCTCTACAATGGGAAAAAAAAGACTGCATTTCTTTTTAAGTGGGCATCCTTTCAGTGTGAGAGCGGATGGCTTTGTCAGGCTCATACATTCCCATTCTACTCTGGCAGATGGACTGAGTGGATGAGACTGATGCCAGTGGAGACAAATAGACAGTCGTATTAGACCAACTACAAGATGCTTTATATACTGTGAGAACGCGTCTGCATACATAGGAGATGTGCGCCAACGTTTTACTGTCTCTAAAACTTATACACAAGAATCAATACGCAAATCTGCCCCTTTATTAGCAAACCATCATCTCCAGCCAGCTTGATCACGTTGGAGGAGACCAGTTAGCAGAAGGCTAGTATAAGCTCAACAGGAAATCCTACAGGAATCATAGCTGAGAAACAAAAATAATGCGCACACTCTTTGATCCAGGATAACCTTAGGCAGACTTTCCAAGTACAGTGGTACCTCGGAATACGAACGCCTCTACTAACGAACATTTCGGGTTACGACCAGCTTCGGCAGGAAAAA